GTGCCTCTGACCCTGCTGTCAGGTCGTTTTGTGTGAATGTGTATGCGCAGAGGTTATGAGGGTGATTTCGGGTATCTTCCTCTATCTCTTCACCTTATTTTTTAAGACAGGGCCTCTCACTGAATCTGTGGTTTTCACTGTTTGCTGCACTGGCCGACCAGGGAGCCCCCAGGACCCACCTGTCTCCAGCCCTCAACTCTGGGATTCCAGGTGTGTGCCACCCTGCCCTGCTTTTTTGTGGGTGCTCAGGGTCTGAACTCGGGTTGTCATGCTTGCACAGCAAGCACTTTCAACACGGAACCATGTCTTCACCCCGAGTCCCCCAGTTCTTAATGTGGCTGTAGAAGGGTATGTTTTCCTCAATGAGACATTACTGGTAATGACATGGTGCAGCAGATTTAGATTCTTGTCAACGCCTCCTGCTGTCTTTGGGATCCCAATCAGGACGGCACTTTACATGCAATCTCTCTGGCCTGACCTGGACTGTGTCTCCCGTGAACCCTAATTCTGATAATACTGAGAATTTGGCAGAGGCTGGTCACATGGGCTTGATGTCTTTTTTACACCAAAGTATTTTCCTCCTTGGTGGCAGTTTGTTCTCTTAACTGATTTTTGTCTCTATTTTATTTTTGTTTTATTTTTTTAAGATCTTATATTCTTGTTATTATGATGATGATTGTGTGTGTGTGCGCGCGCGCGTGCGTGCATGTGTGTGTGTTGAGGTGGTGGATGAGTCCCTGAAGAGGCTAGAAGAGCTCCTTGGGCTCCCTGGAGCTGAAGTCATAGGCAGTGGTGCGACACTTGATACGGGTACTGAGACTGAACTCTGGTCCTCTAGAAGAGTAGGAAGTGTGCTGTTAACCACGGAGCCATCTCTCCAGTCCCTTCACTGTGCTCTTATCTACACTTAAGTGTCTGCTTTGAGGCATCCTGGATTTGTGGCTTCTGGGATGAGATAGAATATATAGTTTGTATTCTATAGCCTTGTGCAGTACGGGCCTAAGGCTTTGATATCTTACAGACACTTTGTTATATATCCCCTCTCCATCTGAGATCCCGGAAAGAGCACATTCCCCACATAAGTTTCTGGATTATGACATTTTACAGCCCCCTTATATACATGCAGATAGTATATCCTGGGCTTTCTCTCTCTGCCTGGACTGTCTTAGCTTCCTGAACTCCACGGAAAAGGCCATGTCTGCAGTACTCGAAGCCCTCCCAGGCTCTGAAGTCACTCACCACCTTGCCTTTGGAGTCCCCTGTATGTGAGCACTTCTCTTCTCTAGTCCATGGTAACTATTAGTGCTCCTTAGTCCCTTTGAGAAGGGACATCCACGCCGTTTGAGTGTACCCTGTTTTTGGAAGAACTGGGGCGCTGTCCATGCTACTTGGAAGGTTTTATACAAACCGTGTTTTACACGGTGGCTGGCACAATGTGGGGGATGCACCCGTGCCCACTGACGTGCACACAGGATGAATGAGTGAGTGAGTGAGTGAATGAATTAGATCAAGAGAACTTAGAAGATTCAGTATCTGCAGCTTCCACAAGACCCTAAAATTTGGGGTCTTTATTTAGGGTCCAAATGAAACACTGAGTGAGTCCAAGAGACCCCAAAAGACAGGGACTAGGTGCAGAGTCCCCTATTCAGTGCCACCACACCCACCTCTGCTGCTCTGTCCAACCCTGGTGACATCTGGGTTTCACCAGTGGTTCCTCTAAGAACTGTGGCTGTGTTATTGTCTTATAGCTGACTCCGGTCTCCCTTTTTTTACACAGAGAGAACTAACAAGTGGTGGTGGGAGGGGCGGACCTACCATAATGTGTCTTGTAAAGGTTGCAGGCGGTAATCCGAGGCAGGACCCTGGCATGGCAGTCGGATGCTCCTGCAGCCCGCTTTTCCAGATTCCGCATGCAGCACAGGCTCGAAAGCCCCAGCATGAGGAGGTGGTCAGGAGCTACCTCCCTCAAGCTCACTGTCTAAGCAAGCACCCTACAGGTATAACCATGGGCTTGGTTTGGTTCCTACAGCCTCAAAGATCATAGGCACTGCCTCCCCGATCTGCAGTTCATCAAGGTCTCCTTCCTCAACCTGTGGCTGCCAGAGGCAGATTCCCATTTGCCACTACCTTTCTTCTCATGAGAATCCATCTAAAGCAGCAATTCTCAACCAGTGGGTCGTGACCCCTTGGAGGGGGGGTCAAATGACCCTTTTACAAGGGCCACATATCCTGCATATTAGGTATTTACATTACAATTCAAAACAATTAATTCAAAATAATTACAGTTATGAAGTAGCAACGAAAATAATTTTATGGCTGGGGGGTGTCACTGCAACATGAGAAACTATATTAAAGGGTCTCAGCATCAGGAAGGTTGAGAACCCCTGCTCTTAAAGCATGAGCTGAACCAGAAAGGGTTAATCAGCCTTGTCTGCTTCTGTGTTTATCAGAGAGCAAGGATACAGGCATCGGGAAGAAAGGAAGCAAATTGGTAAAAAACCCATGAGGCAGCTGGGCTGAAGGTCGGAGGCGTCTTTCCCCTCCTTCACTGCCTTCAGGTTTATACTCCTTCAAACTCTATATATGTAGTGCCAGCCACGGTGGCAGCAGATCTCCAACAACCCTGTCCCCAGGTCATTACCAGGGGTGAGAGGACTGCGGGGGCCTAAGAAGCACCTAGTGATGTGGGTACAACAGAGTAGCTAAGGTAACTGGGAGAGGATGTTGGAAATGTTTTTGCTCCATTTCCTTGAGGAATGTTCACAGAGACCAGCAGAAAGGGCAGGTGATGGTAGAGAGGGATATCGGAGTTGATATCAAGATGTCACGGGGGCATGGTGCCACCAGACAGAGCCTGGCCTATGAGTACAGTGCCTGGGGCATGGCTGTCACTTGTGGGCACTGGCCTAGTGGAGCACATGTGCTCACCCATTTCTGGGAGAGCTTGGTCTCTGAATGCTCGTGAGGTCACCTCCTCGGGGCTCTCAGACCCAGGGACACTGTCTGACCCTGGAGGTTCTCATGGTCTGATGGAGTCAAAGCAAAAATGACTCTGCCAAGAGGACAGAGAGCCAAGCCTGCCCTCTCCCAGGACACGGGATCAGAGCAGTCTGGGGATGTCATGAGTCATCATTAGCCCTTGGCTGTTTATTTTTCTTTTGGTTTGGCTTTGGTGATATTTCTTACATTCTAAAGGTCCTTCCTTCCTTCCCCATCCACTTTCTGATTTGAGTTTTACAAAAGGCGTCATTTTCGCCATGAGGCTAAAGTGAACATGGCTTAGGAGTCCAAGAGGCAAGAAGAATGAGCTAAAAGTAGGTCATACTTCAACCTGGAGCATGCAAGTACCTCTTGCATTGTTTGGGGCTTCCTGTAGCAAACACACTCTTAACATATAGGCTTTAACATACAGGCTTTAACATATAGGATGCAGTGTCTGACCATGAAGGCATTTAACCCATTGCATCTGGAACACAGCACCATTTAACCCACAGGGCTCCATTGTATCTTGGTCACAGATACAAGGCTGATGCAGTCTCCTGAGGTGTAAAAAAAGGCCTCATGTGAAGACGAAAAAGGGGCAATGCAGGAAACTCCTCACATACCTGGCCCATAGACATAGGGCTGGTCTTCACAGTAGGGGTCCACTGTGCAGGTGGGGAGCAGAAGAGCTTCCTGCTGGCCTGGATGAAGGCAATGAGCTTGGTATTCTGACCCATCAGATGTGTGTGTGTGTGTGTGTGTGTGTGTGTGTGTGTGCGCACGCACGTGTGTGTGTTCATGTATGTTTGGGGGTACATACATGTTCATGCCTGTGTATGTGGAGGCCAGAAGACCACCTTAGGGTGTTGCTCCCCTGGCATTGTTCACCATTTTGTCTTGAGACGCGGTGTCTCAGCAGCCTGCAGCTTATCAATGGCTGCTGGTCAGCTAGCCCCAGGGATCCTCCTGTCTCTGCCTCTCGGTGCCAGGATTACAGGGATGCACCACACTGCCTCGAGGCCATAGCCACACTGAGGCCCTGTTTGACTCAATGGAATTAACGGAGAGGAAGAACTTGCTAGGTAAGGTGGTCCAGAGAAAGAGGGCGAGCTGAGATGGTGAGGGAAACAGTGGATTTGGCTCGGCTGGCAAAATGCTGGTGGAAGGGCAACTCTGGGGGGGGGGCAGGGCCCATAGGACAGAGATGGTGACAGTAAATCACAGAGACTCTGAGGAACACCTGCCCAGGGATGTCTGGAAGGCAGCCAGCCCCATAGAAGGAGCCCAGGTTTATGCTGGAGCCAGATGTGGCCATCACTAGCAATTAGGGGGGAAATAAGTCACAGGAACAGAGGAAGTTGCCCAGGAAGTGTGTGCGGAATGAAAAGAGAAGCTGCGTCAGGGATAGACTGCTGGGTAGTGACATTTGAGGATGGGTCACTGGGTGAGCAACAGGCAAAAGAGCCTTCTGGGAAGACAGTCTAAGACTGGGGGACCAGGAATATCCAGTAACAAGAGAAAGGGAGGCTCCCAGAAGCAAGGAGCCACTTAGAGCACTGATCGCAGCCTCTGCTAACCCTTCTCCTCTGTCTTATGCATCGCAGGCTTACACTACAGCATGCTGCTACATCTTGGTTTAATTTACAGCGTGGCTACCTGTTAGCCGGCTTCCGAGAGAAAGACTCTAAAAGCCTGTTTGTCTGCTTGAGTACCTCACCCACACCTGAATTCTGCTAGCATCATCACCCACACCTGAACTTCCACTAAAGTCATCACTCATGCCTGTACTTCCGCTAACGTCATCACTCACGCCTGAACTTCCGTTAACATCATCACTCACGCCTGAACTTCCGCTAACGTCATCACCCACGCCTGAACTTCCCGCTAACGTCATCACTCTTGCCACGATGGGGTTGAGGATGCTCAGCAAGCTTGTGCCAGCAACCTCCCAGGTACGAAGTAAGTGCAGAAGACCGAAAGGTGTGAGGCTGTGCTCCAGACTCCAGGCGCTGGCTTACCTGGCACTCTCCAAGGTGGCAGATGCAGTCTTTTCTACAGCTCCAAATCCTACACCGACAGCGAGACCCTCTGCAACAGACACAAGACCCAGAGATTAGGAGTCACCTCTCCTGCCATCCTGGTGTCAGGCAGGACGGCTTCAGGCTGCAAGTAACAGAAAAATCAATGTAACGGTGGCATTTTGAATCTGGGTTCGTAAACTCCAGTCTGTTTCCTGTTTGATGTATATGAAAGTGTGTGTGTGTGTGTGTGTGTGTGTGTGTGTGTGTATGTGAGAGAGAGAGAGAGAGAGAGAGAGAGAGAGAGAGAGAGAGAGAGAGAGAATGAATAGATTATCAACATGATAAAATTTAGAATTACTGTGGAAACAAATCCTTGGACATATCTGTATGATCTAACCCCACATGTACTCCCAAATCAGAGCAAGAACCAATACCCACTGACACCAGCCCCTCCCCCTGTGTGTGTGTAGGTGATGCTCCTATGAACTAAGCAGGAAGAATCCCCAGTACTTGTCTGGGTCAAGACCAAGGGTTTTTGGGGTTATGCTGGAGCATTTTTATGAGAAAGGCATTAACTGCTGAGCGAGAGGAGCTGGTGTTTCTTCAAGGAGCCACTGTCCCTTTGAATGACCTGCTTCTTTCATTGAGTCCTGTTCAGTTGGAGTAGGTCAGACACAGGCACCAAGCAATGGAGTCATAGATGCACGCAGAAGGCTGAGGGTCAGAATTCACGTAAGACCAAGAATGGCTTGGAGCCCCAAAGGTCCTGCTAAGTCCTCAACGACTCCTCGGTACTTCGTTTTACCTTTATGCCCTCTCTCCTGGTGAATCTTTCACACTGTACCTGTGCCACTGTGGCAGTCTAGTTGAGAATTTGGGATTCTGGTTTCTCTCTAAGTATCTTAACTCTAGAATACAGAGTTTTAGAACCTTCTGAAGTAGTGGAAATCCCCAAGTCCCAGCCTGGGCCATTTCCAACCCAAAGTCACATGTTTGCAGGGGGAATTTCTTCCTAAGACCACACAGCAGCTTGAGGCTCCTCAGCCTGGCTTCCCCCAAATATATGCTACACATGACAGCAAGCCATACAGAAGTCGCCAGGGCACTCCTTCCTGAAAGCTCTATGGAAAAGGAAGCCAGAGCTAAGTCAGTCAGCACCAAGGCCACCAGCTAAATCAAGATCAAGGTGACCTGATTATTCCAAATTGAATTTTGGGGGGGGTACTATTGAGGATGAAATCCAGGATCCTGCAAAGGCTAGATAAACCCTCTGCCAGTGAGCCCCCAAAAGTGAGCTTATTAAGACTTCATTCATGGGGCTAGAGAGGTGGCTCAGAGGTTTAGATCGCCTGTTGCTCTTGCAGAGGACCCAAGTTTGATTTCTAGTACCCACACGATGGCTCACAGTTCCAGGAGATCTGATTCCCCCTTCTGGCCTCTGCAGGCACCAGGGATGCATGTGGTGTACAAACCTACAAGCAGGCAAATCACGCATACATACAAAATGAAACGAATAGATTTTGTCTTATAGTTCAGTCACTCCAGTTTGTCTCTGAGGATCCTGCCTGTCTGCTCAGCCCCACTTGTCAAGTGTTTCCTCCGTGATGATGATGATGGCTTCCTACTAGGATCTTATTTCAAAATCCTCATCTTCTAGAGTCCTTTTCCTTAGAAAGGTGGGGGGGGGGTGGCGATGATCCTCAGAACTCCAGGCCGATATGTGGATTATAGGCAGTGACTGTCATCTCCAGGCTCTGGAGCAGAGGGCAAAGGGGATAGGGTCCTGGCTCAGGTAAGTTCTGGTTCATAGAGCCTGGGACGCTGTCTGTTCTTCCTCTTCTCCAGATGTTCCCACCCAGAGTCCAAGCCACAGTCCCAAGCAGAGGGCTAGATGTACCCGATATTAATATCTGCCTGGTATTTCTGATGCACTCCCACATGGGGCAGGCAGGGATGAATTTATTCCAGCTCAGGGCAGGCTGCAGTGGGGATGGCTGAGGTCCTGGGCAGCCTTGTTCTGTAGAGCTTCCCACACCACACCCATGAGAAAACAAAGCTGGGGTACATCCAAGTTGTTGCCCCCAGGCAGCCTCCACCTTCAAGTGACCCAGACATTACCAAACTGCTGTCCTCTGCCACGTTCAACACAGCTGAGGCCCCCAACCCACTCCCACGGGTGACGCTGGATTGCCAAGAAAAGGATCTTCCCTGGGACTCTGGCCAGCTGAGGGCAGGCATTAAAAATTGGGAAGGGACTAAAGGCTTCTATTGACCCTAGACTTGCAGACTTCCCTTTGGGGGAAAATTGCTCTTTAAAGCCATGAACAACAGCTGCTTGGTTCCTCTGTTAATGCTTTTTTTTTCTAATTAGTCATTTTAATGTAAATCACAGAGCAGCCTAGAGCAATGGTACATAAGTTAATCAGCAAAATACTCCCCCCCTCCAGTGGCTCAGCACACAGCTCAGCACTCTGACATATGCATGCTCACTGGTGCTTTGGGATGGGACAATGGATGAGCAAAGTGACCCAGCTGTAGAGGGGTGGGCTGGCCTTGAACCGATGTCACCATCTGTCACCATTCCCAGAATGCTGTTTGATCTTCAGTTTGCTGTCTGGGCTCATGGCTTTTTTTCATAGATGTGATGTGGCCCTGTGGGCATCAAACACCAGTTTCTGCAGCTCCGTTCTCAGTAGAATGAATGCTTCAGTTCCCAGGCAGTTATGCACCTAAGGCAGACCACCAGCAGGGGGCCCTCTACTAGAGAACTTTGGGTGATGGTTTCCAAGGTGGCAGTCCAGAGGAAGGGAGCAACAACTCACTGCCTCTAGAGCATGGGGCTGACCTCGAAGGTGGCCATGGGCAGCTCAGGTTCCCACTGGATTAAGCAAGGGAGGAAGGTAACAGGGGGAGAGGAGGGTTTTATCACTGTGCTCAAAGGTGGGAGGTGATAGGAATGAGTTAAACGAAAGAGAAGCTAAGATAAATTACACACGCAGAAAGAACATAAATTAGGGAATCAACAGATGGAAGAAGAAACCGCTGGTGGGAGAGGAAGGGAGCTAAAATGCCGACTCCTACCCCAGGTGTTCCACCAAAAATGCAAATGAGAAAGGTAATTAAGACAAGACACTCACTGCCTGGAATATCATTAGGAAGCTTCTGCCATTAGCCCTGCCCCCCAGGACAGGGAAGGGAGATAAACTGCCTGGACCAGTGAGGATGGCTGCCTGCAGGAGAGGCCACATGGAGGTCAAGCCGAGCACCAAGGCTAAAGCTGCTGTAGCCACCACAGTCTTCCCCTGGGACCAGGATGGGGCTGTCTGTCCCTTGCCACTATCCTATCCTTCTGAGGCTCAGAGATCCTGGCAGAAGCGGGGTCAGGAAGATTTCTTGTGAGAGCCATAGGAGGTAGATGACTAACTACCGGAGGACATCAGGGAAGCTGCTTAAGTGAACCCACAGCTATTGAGACAACAGCACATGAGTTTCAGAGCCTCAGCATGGGGAGCGCCAGTCTGAGCTAAAGAGCTATTGGCAGTTAATGGCAGATGGGGGAGGGAGGGTCAGCTTTCTTGAAGGTTGTGGCCCCTTCTAGGTAGACCACCCTCCAGTCAAGACCACAAACTGCACTTGATGGGTCTTTAAAGAGGGGAGGGCGACACAAAATTGGGTGTGTAGAGAAGCTGGGATGGATCTGGGGGGAGCAGGAAGAGGAATGAATATGATCTAAATGTGCTGTACAAAATTGTCAAAAAACTTTGAGAGAGAGATAGAAAGAGACAGAGAGAGAGAGAGAGAGAGAGAGAGAGAGAGAGAGAGAGAGAGAACAGATAATGGAGGACCTTTGGCTGAGACAGATCCAATCTTGGGTTCTACCCCATTACATAAGGTTCTTACAGAACTGGAAGGAGTGATGTGGCTTTGTTTACAGGGTGATCTTGTTAGTGGCAACTGATCTGGGGGTAGTTAGAGCGGGCTAAAATTTTCTAGGGCTCATGACAGTGCTTGAAACATTCTAGAAATCCCTACTCTCTTCCTGCCAGTGATCGGCAACTCCAGTGAAAATTCAAAGTAGTCCAGAACGCCCCAGGAGTCCAAGTAGACAGGATGAAAGCCCAGGAGAAAGGAGAAGTGTCTTTTCTTCCTGCTGTGGGCGCCCCTGACTCTTGAAGGTCACGGGACAGAGTTCGCTTCAAGAGACTTTCTTGTCTTCCAAACATCAGCATCTATGTGACTTCCGCTTTGACAGCTGTCTTAGTTGCCACAGGCTGCCAGAACAAAGCACCTCAGACTGAGTGGTCTATAAATGAAAAAAGTTTCCATCTCACTCCTGGAGGCTGGAAGGACCAAGATCTTGACGCCAGCAGTTTCACAGCAGAGGTGGGTTTTGGAGGCCGCAAACATTTGGGCTGGCGTTTATGGAGGCTGGAGATGGGTGGAGTGGGAAGGGGCACTGTGAGAAGAAAGGATGTGTACCATCCTCTTGGCTCAGCTGCTTCCCCTTCTGGGGCAGAAACAGCTGCCTTGGAGCTTCTGAGGAGTAAAGCTTTCTTTTGCCTGATTGTGCTCCTAATGGCATGGGCTTGGGTACCAAGCAGTCTCGGCATAGTGAGGCTTCTCATCCCAGTTTGGTGGGACCAGGGATTATAGGGCTATAATATTCCCCCTCCAGACTCTACATAGCTCACACTGCTCCGGACAGAATACAGTCCCCCCTGAGAAGTTTTCCACAGAAACAACTCCAGGGCCCTCCGTCACTGACTGCCCAGGGTCTCCCCTGTGTGCCGTTATGACGTCACAGCCTAGCTCCTGCCCCTGAATCTCCTCACTGTGTGCCACCCATTCTCCAGTTGGACCTCCAGTCAATGTGTGCGTGATGTTAGTTCTCGAAGTTATGGCCAGAAAATGTCAACCCAAAGGCCACACAGGAAATCAGGGGAGCCGCTGTGGCTTATCCTCCTCAATTTGAAAACCATTAAAATTTAGGCAACTGCTAACATTTCCTGGGGAGGCTTCATAAATATTAAACATGGCCACTACCAGCAAACAAATCCACTGACAAGA